AAAAAAAAAAAAAAAAGAAGAAGCAAGTACAAGTTGTACATTTTAGTGGACGCGTTTTTTTTTTATTGTCCACTTGACAGTTGGGAGCCGTGTATATACATACACACACATGATCCTATTGGTGGACTGTGCAAACGTCCCCATAGGAGTAAAACACCGTTAATGTAGCACGGCATGCCAGCGCGTTTGCAGATGCACACACATTTTTACTTCTGTGTACATGCCTCGATACACTTGAGAAAAGGAAGTGGCACACTACAACGACTCAGCAAAGCATGGAGGACAGGAAAAGTAGCACCCGAGTAACTGCCAAAGGCAGAAGCATAAACGGAGCCATAAAGTTCGTGTCAAAGGGTAAAAAGCGTAATCAGCATGCGGGAGACAATGGGGAGTTTGCGTCGAATGGGTTGAAAGTCAGTACGAGGAAGAAGGAGAGCAACAGGGAGAGTGCCGCCGCTAGCCGCACCGTTAACTGCCGCACTAGCGGTGGCAGCCAGGGGAGAGACCACTCCGTAAACAATGTTGATCAGTTCGAACTGAAGTGTAGGGACTACCTAGACGGTGTTCTAAGAATAAGCGAATACGTGAAGCTGCCCAAGAGCATCAACAATGAGGAGGAGAAGAGGAGGTGGAAGACGGCCCACTGTTTACGTAACAGAATGAAGCAATACGATCATCTCACGAGAAGAAAATTGTTCCAAAGAAAATGTATTAGTAATAATGCAAAATTCAACAGGGAGAGATACATTATATTAAATAAAATCCCTAGGTACAGGGAAGCCTTTCCTTCCGTCATGGACGACGCGTCAAACAAAATCAAGGAGGACATCATTCGTACGTACCTCAAGACACACGCTGCTTACTTCCTATCGGAGGGTCGAAACGGAAACAGCCGCAACTGTGGAAATGGTTACAACGTGAGTTTCGTGAAAAAGGGACCCAACAGCTACCTGTGCAGGCACGTGAACAAGGACGGGGAGGTGGATGCTTGTTTGCGTTACTACTGCGGCTCATCCAATGGGGGCCAGCACAGAACAGGCAGCACAAGAAACCACCCGAAGGGTAAGAAAAAAGATTTGTCTTACAATTTGTGGAAAAAGATCATCGTCGAGGGGATAAAAAATGGAAGCATTGGGGGGGTGAGCAATGTTCACGGACTTCGCAGCGTTAGCGCGCGCGCTCCAAGCAAGTACGAAATTCTTGTCAACGGATCCTACCACAATCTGCGGAGCGTGACAGGCGGGATGAACGACTCAGGGAAAGACACCCGAAAAAGTGCCCTGAGTCGAAGTAACCAAGCGAGTATAAAGTTGTCAACAAGCACAAACCAAGCCTCCAACAGAATAATCCTACACAACGACAAAAGGGAAGATGCATATGAATTGAAGCCGAGTAGAACGAAGGGGAAAATGTGCCCCCCCAGTGCGAAGGTTCTTAAAAGTTCCTCCCCGTACAATTCCTCTGTGGACTCGAAAGAGGAACGCACACAAGGGGGAGGGTCCAACCGAGGCCGTACACAACACACGACTATATTAAATACCCACAGCCAACACTCAAATGGGAATTCCTTCTGTTCGGACGAATCAATGAAGAGACTTATGTACGACAAGTGCAATGTGGAAAGTGAGAAGTTCTTTTACAAAAAGGATCGATTTTCTTTACTGGGTCGGATTAAGAAAAACAAGGAGATCGAGGTGAGGCTCGTGTTGAACAAGGTGTGAAGTGGGAAACAGCGCTTTTCTTCACAACAAGGGGAAATAATAATCCCCCTTGGTGAAGCAGACTTGTGTGGCATACTCCAAACCAATAAATGATTCGACGCATTGAAGAAGGAAGAAGAATATGTTTCACCTGAACATGTGTGCATTTTTTTTTTTTTTTTTTTTTACTGTTCATATCTGTGTACTTTTCTGGCTAGTATGGCTAGCCAAAATGTCACGCTGAGGATTTCCCAATTTTCCCTCTCTGTCTCTCCCGTTTAACCAAAAGATAAAATTTAAAGTAACATTGTTGTATGTTTGACTTGTGCGTTTTTTTTTTTTTTTTTTTTTCCGTCCATTGACCCCTACGTCGTTCTCCATTTTTTAGTTTTTTAAAAGTAACCGCGTCGCAGTTGTGAAGACAGCTTCCTTGCAAATTCATGTAAAAATTTTCACTTTAGTATAATTTTTTTAAATTAAAAAAAAAAAAAAAAAAACAAAGGGAAAATGTTCCCAGCGAAGTGGAGCTGGGCAAAAGAAATGGTGAGCAATGCAACGTGGATTCGGGAAAACAAAAAGGGGGGTCACTTACGGCGGAGCCCTCAGGTGTGTAAACGAGGTTTCTCCATATATGTGGTGCAACGGAAACGAGCCATGGGAAAGGTGTATTGAGAAACGTACAGAGGTGTGTACTGCGCCTCTTATAGACACTCCTTACACACGGCGCTCAACTTCCCCCACAGCAACAAATCTTTATAAGTTTCAAAATGAACAGGATGATCAAATTTATAAGTTTTTTGATGAAGGTGAAGGTCAATCGAATAAAAATGTACAGCACAATTAACACCGCCACACACTTCAGCAGCTTCATAAGGATTATCCTTTTAATTTCATTTGCACTGACGGCATCCTTGCCAGGTCGTAAGCCATGCATATCTGGATTCCCTGCATTTGCGGGTCCCTCTTTCAACTTTTTAAATAAATAATTCACAGCGTCAAATATAAAAGTGCTATCTTTAACTATGTCTGCATGGCTTACAAGGGAAGCACCATCTATGAAATTTAATTTGTTGTCATTTCCATCATTTGTGTTAAATAAGTCAAGGAAGCCTATTCCTGTATTTTCATTTTTGTTTGTTTGATTATTGTTATTATACTGTTCCGATTTGTCTTCCCCCTTTTTATTCTTCTGGTTATCTTCACTTAAGTGTTTATCATCCTTCGGGCGGTTAACCCCATTTGTATCGTCTACGTTGATGCCTTTCGCGGAAGTGAAGAAGGTTGGGGGGTCGAGACACACTAGCCCGCTTAGGAACAAGAACAGGAAAAAAAGATAGGCGTTTTTTCTGATTTTTTTTTTTTTTCTTTTTGAATTGCTCATCGGGGTGACCTTCGCGACCGCCATGGTGGATCAGTTCGTTTGCGCGTTTCATCTAACGGGGGGGAGGCGTTATCGGTGATATATAGCGGCGTTAGCAGCTTCAGCAGCGTTCCCCCTATTGACGGTATTGGCTGTATTGGAAGTACTATGGGTGGTAAATGGCGGGGGCAGTCATGGCCAAATGTGTTCACCCCTGTTTTATGCTGCTCTTCCGAATGATAAGACGGGAGCGATGAGGAGGGGTGCTCTCAACCCAGCCTCTACTTAGCCATTGCTATAGTCGCCACGTTACTGCATCGGTGTGTCATTAAACATTCCTCTCGGGGATAGATAATCTACGACGCTTTTTGTTTTGCTCAAGGTTGGGGTAGGAGAGGCGAAAACGGAAAAGCGAAAATGGAGAAACCAAGGGACAAAGACGAAGTTTAAAGAAACCTTGTTGGGGGAAAAGACATTCGGGGATTTACTCCTCCGTTTTTTGTCATTCACAATCCGATGCTATTTTTTTTTTTTTTTTTTTTTTT